AATCACATAAATTATAATCGTCTTCCCGAAAGCGAAATTATGAACCGGGATCCTATACAATTATCTCGCCAATAATTAAGTATGTTCTATACCGCCGTACAAGGTACATGACCAATTTTTTTATGCAGTAATTTATGATATAAGATAATATTAGTGGTATTTGGTGGCCCTGAAAAGGGCCGTTTTATTTGTATATTGATCACGTCAAGTGGGTTTATTTGGAGCTGGTGTACTTGGTCACAGCTTTGGTGCCTTCACTGACGGCGTGCTTGGCCAATTCACCGGGCAACAAGAGTCGGACGGCAGTTTGGATCTCCCGGCTGGTAATGGTCGAACGCTTGTTGTAGTGGGCAAGACGACTGGACTCGGCGGCGATGCGCTCGAACAGATCGTTGACGAAACTGTTCATGATGCTCATGGCTTTGGATGACACGCCGGTGTCGGGATGCACTTGCTTCAGCACCTTGTAGATGTAGATGGCGTACGATTCTYTCCTCTTGGGCTTGCGCTTCTTATCGGACTTGGCGATGTTTTTTTGTGCTTTTCCTGAAGACTTCTTCATCGCTTTGCCCGCCGATTTTCCTCCTGGAGCCATTCTTAGAGTTTGAGTGATACTACAGTAGACGATTGGAACGCTGATGACTGAATGACGAAAAATCGACCGTACGGTAGTATATAAGACCAAACTAAAGTGATATGTCGTTTTTTTATTGGAGGAAATATTATAACTATGTCAAGTAAAAATAGGYCGTTGGTCGTTCCGTAATAATTRAAAATAATTGTTTCTCAACAGTTATATTTAACAGGAATGTCGAGCAAAAACAGCACATTTCAGTCACTTTTRTCTTTCAAAAGATGTTATTGTTGTTCGTCGTAGTGTTTTTATTTTGTCCAATCATGGGATTGCTTTTCAGATATTTACTATATAAGTCATGATTTCACTAATTTCAGCAMCAGTTGCATTCAGTATCACGTTTAACCTACTAGACATCACTTCAGACAACATGAGCGGACGCGGTAAAGCAGGAAAAGCAAAAGGAGGCAAATCCAAAACCCGGTCGTCACGTGCCGGACTCCAGTTCCCGGTCGGGCGTATTCATCGTCTGTTGAGGAAAGGAAACTATGCCGAACGTGTCGGAGCCGGAGCACCGGTATACTTGGCCGCCGTCATGGAGTACTTGGCAGCTGAAGTTTTGGAGTTGGCCGGTAATGCCGCCCGTGACAACAAGAAGTCCCGTATCATCCCCAGACATTTGCAATTGGCCATCAGAAACGACGAGGAGTTGAACAAATTGTTGTCCGGAGTGACAATCGCTCAAGGCGGTGTGTTGCCCAACATCCAGGCCGTTCTCTTGCCCAAGAAGACCGAGAAAAAAGTTTAAATTAATTCCTGATATATCATGTGACATGTACTCGTTTAAAAGGTCCTTTTTAGGGCCACCAATTATTTTGATGATTTGTTTATTGTTTGCTACTTATATAKTCATGTGTTATTGTAGTTTTTTCAATATTTTTGTAATAATATTCAATGGAATGTAAATTGTTTCTACTAAATTCTACATCAATATTCAGTTACTTTACTAGTTTACTAGAATCTAGAATATTAGAATATCATATTATAATCAATCAATGCTCTTATATAATATATATTCTAATAATTGAACAGTGTCACCACGGTATATGCAGGGGCGGAGTGGCCCATCTGGAATTTTCCAGATGGGGCGATACTGACGGATACTATATGGGCCGGCCCTAGGTTTAAAAAAAATGGTTTAACATAAGTAACAAATAGTATAATCAGTGCTCAGTTGTATAAAATTGTAAATAATATTTCATGACCCTTATTATAAATAAATTTTGTTATAATCTTAAAGTGAAGTTTAAGTTTAGTATAAATTTAATATTTGATTTATTCAGAAAAACAATTTACAAATAAT